TCTGCCCCGCCTCAACTTGTTTCTCAGCTCCTGCTGTGATTTGTCCCCAAACTTAAAAGCTTCCTTTTTGTTATTTAAACAAATTAAAACCTCTAAAACAATAATTGCTCAATATGATGAAAGAATGTGTTCTACCGTTTATATATATATATATATATATATATATATATATATACACAGTCTATGGTTATCCAGGTGTGGTGTTATATTTATTCCAAAGTATTTAAAGCCACCTGGTGACAAATTAAAAGAACAAGACTTTTCCACATTTGCTGTTGGCGTCATATGTCAGAAACAAGCATTAGATTTCTTAAAATTAATTTTATATCCAGAGTATCTTCCAAATTGCTCTATTGTGTCGTGCAGATGTGGTACTGAATTTTCTGGGTCTGTTAAGTAAAGAATGATATCGTCAGCATGCAGAGACATGTTGTGTTCATCGTTAATCTTCACTCCTTTAATACCCATGTTGTCTCGCACACATGACGCAAGCGGTTCAATTACAATATAGCAATAATATAGCTCTGGCATCCGTTTCTGATAATGACGACGCAATAGCCCCGCCTCTCCCCACCTCTGCTGCTCACCCCCGCCCGCAAAAGTACACTGCACACTGAATTCAGATTATTTATCTTTATCTCTTCAAGTCAGATCATAACCCTTAGCTATTTTAATTACCTCTCAAACTACCTAAACTACTTATAAATATGTTTATTTGTACTGTCGAGTCATCATTACTGGATCAGCTGCTGCATGAGACAGACACTGACGCTGTCAGAAGAGAGGAAAAAGAGACAGCCTCCGTGTATTTTATTATTAAATATATCATTATGTCGTCGTTATTCATTTGTTTTAAAGCTCAATAAATAACAAAGAACACCTTTGACCGGCACTTTTATAATTTTGTCCGGAAGATTTAAACTTTAACACACGTTGAGCGGAGAAAAACTCTCCCCGGATCCCTCGGCCCCCACCGCGGAGAATAAACAGAAGTTAAATGAACTCTTGCATGATCCGAAATATTAATGGAATCAATTTTACATTGAAATGTATTCAAAGTACTTTATGTTTCTTAGTTCTAAATATCCATTTCAATTAAAAACTACCAACAATAAAGTACTTTTACTAATAATAAATATCATAATCGATTCAATAATATAAATACTATATTATTTTTATCAGAATAGTGTTGTCATATAGTCAAGACAAAACATGCTTATTACATGCTCCAAAACGGATATGTCTTAAATCTGTATTCAAGTCCCCTCTTTCATCAATGTATCAACAACTTGCAACTTACAAATTGACTTACAAATGAATAAAAGGGGAATAAATGCTCCATGTTTTTTAGGCTGTAAACTTTAACTGTTATGTAAGCCAAATACACATACAGTTCATCTTGTGAGTCATCAGATTGAGATTTGTATAATTTGTTATAAAATTCATAAGTCTGGTTCATCTGTTTTGGGCTTTTTATCATGTTTTTAATTATTGTTTTATTATTGTACTCCCATTGTGTTATTTAATATATATTGCCTGTACAGCACTTTGGTCAACTGAAGGTTGTTTTAAATGTGCTTTATAAATAAATAAAGATTGAGATTGACTTTATATAATGCTGGGTAGCTTGTGAAATTCCCCATGGGATCAACCAATGTTGCAGGGGGCTAACAAAATTGAAGAAGGTGTCTATCTCCCTTTGAAGCCTATGCCTTCATTCCAAATCATATCTCCGTGCTATTGTTCCTGCTTCTTCCTCTGCTCCTCCTCAACTTGACTCTCTGCTCCTGTTATGATTCGTCCCCAAAAACTTCAAAGCTTCCCTTTTGTATTTTAAAGAGTTTTCAGGTCACCAGTAGTCCAGGGTTACCTGTTCTTTGTTCAGTTATCTCCTGTCAGCTTCACAGGGACATGTGAAAAAGGCCTTTATTCAGATGGGTGTTTCTGCCTGCATTTGACCCTTCCTCACACACACAATTATGTTAACCTTGTAGACCTTGAAGATGGTCGTTTTAAAATTTCTTTTTCGAATCCTCCAACCAATATCTCTCTGGAGTTATACATTATGATCTTGTGCAATGAAAATGTAATAATTTACGCCTTTCAAATATTACATTGTATTGTACATTAATTTGAACATATTATTGTGTGTGTGTGTGTGTGTGTGTGTGTGTGTGTGTGTGTGTGTGTGTGTGTAGGACTGCAACCAAGGATGAAATTGTTAGGTAAGGATTTGGTTTGACACTTTACTTTTGACATGTAAAGCTAACATGTATTTTAATTCCACATGTTTTGTATGTGTGCTTCATACATGTATGATCTCTATAGTATTTAATTGTTCAGTTTTGAAGTATAACACAGCTTCAATGTTGTATGAGGCACTAAATGAACTGCTCCATTATCTGTATCAAATGCACACATTGATGCCACCAAATGACACAATACAAAGTACTACAAATAAATTGGAATTCATTTATATCTTAAATTATTAATGTACACACACACAAATGTATACACATATCCAACCTTCACATTGCTATTTTAAATCAAAATTGCTCTGCACACTTGCTAAAGAATATTTGTGTGGAAATCTCAGTTCATTTGTAGGGCTGCGAGATTATGGCTATGCTGCGCATTTCACTGTAAACGATTTACATTATGACCGATCATCACTCAACGTTATGCACGCACGCACGCACGCACGCACACACACACACACACACACACACACACACACACACACACACACACACACACACACACACACACACACACACACACACAGGGGGGGCGGCTGCCTTATGGGAGCAGAGACACGTCTGGACACGTTCCGTCCCCGTCTCATATTGAACTTAATATTGAAATGAAATCTATAAGCATCTTTTATTTAAATTGTATCCCAGTTTTTGTTGTCTGTTAATGTACAGTTAATGTCTGTTTATTTGTTTTTAACGCTGTGTGATTAAAACAATAAACACAAATAGCAGAGAGAGAGAGAGGGGGGGAGAGAGGAAAAGAGAGCGCTTCCGCTCATTTCTCTCGTGTTATTATCCAAAGTTAATGTAAACTTGAATAATGTAGGCTACTTCATTTTAATGCATTCAACACGATCCAGCCTCGGCTACTGAGTGACAAGCTGCAGGCTATGAGGGTAAACTCGTCCACCATCTCCTGGATTACCAACTACCTCACGGACAGACCACAGTACGTCCGGCTGGGCAGTGTGCTGTCTGATGTGGTGGTTGGTAGTATTGGAGCCCCACAGGGGACTGTGCTGTCTCCTTTCCTGTTCACCTTATACACCTCTGACTTTCTATACAACTCAGAGTCATGCCACCTGCAGAAGTTTTCGGATGACTCTGCAGTGGTAGGGTGTATAAGGGATGGACGGGAGGAGGAGTACAGAGCGCTGGTGGGTGATTTTGTTGAGTGGACTGGAAGAAATCATCTGCTTTTGAATGTGGCCAAGACCAGAGAGATGGTCATTGATTTCAGGAGGAAGAGGACATCTCCTCCTCTGCCCCTGTGCATTCTGGGAGAGGATGTGGCAGTTGTGGAGGTCTACAAGTACCTGGGAGTGCACTTAGACAATGGGCTGAACTGGAGGATCAACACTGACGCTGTGTACAAGAAGGGGATGAGCAGACTCTATTTTCTGAGGAAGCTGAGATCCTTCAACGTATGCAGTAAGATGCTGGAGATCTTCTATCAGTCTGTTGTGGCTAGTGCACTCTTCTTTGCTGCGGTCTGCTGGGGGGGCAGCATCAGAGCCGGTGACACCTGCAGGATCAATAAACTGATCAGGAAAGCTGGGTCAGTCATCGGCATCAAGCTGGAACCCTTTGAAGCTGTGGTGGAGAGGAGGACACTGAACAGGCTGTTGTCCATCATGGATAACCCCACCCATCCTCTCCACCTGCAGCTGGACAGTCAACGGAGCTCCTTCTCCAACAGACTGCTGCAGCTCCCCTGTCACAAGGACAGATACTGGAAAACATTCCTGCCCACTGCAATAACTCTGTACAACAAATCACCTCTGGCTGGAAGAGAACTCTCTGCTCCATAGTTTCTCTAGAAATAAAACCACCTTGTACATTTTACTCACACATAATCTGTTTCATATTTAATACTCCATAATTCCATATATTTTGAATATATATATATTTGTATATATATATATAATATCTGTATGTATATTTTCTATTTTGTATTTTGACATGTATATTTTATATTTTATTTTATATTTTATTTTATTTTATTTCTATTCTTGTATATTTTGTTTTATTGTAAAATGCCTTTTATGCTGCTGTAACAAAAACAATTTCCCAATTTGGGATCAATAAAGTACGATCTATCTATCTATCTATTAATGTAACAATTATGTTGGTTGTTGTTTGTGGAAGCGCCAGTGAATGAGCCCCATTAACTGAGTTTTAAACATCACTTTTCACGCCCCCCCCGCGGGGGCAAGACGTGCTTAGGTGGCATAGAGTGACAGCCAATGCGAGACGTGCTTAGGTGGCATAGAGTGACAGCCAATGCGAGACGTGCTTAGGACAGCCAATAAAATTGCAGCATTACTGAAGCTGTGAACCGCCGTCTTAGCCAGCTGAGATTTCTTCTGTTCGCAGGTTCGACACCCGGTTGGGGCAAAGTCTGTGATACATTATCAAAGATAAAGAGCTATCTATGAATCAAGAAATGTGAATCCTAATGTGTTATAGTAACTGTTATTGTGTTTATATTTATTTATTACCTTCAAAAGAAAAACTCAGAAGGTATTATTTATATTTAAGATATGGACCATGTAGTATAAATCATTTACTTATGAATGAGACATGTATATATTAATCAAGAAAACATCTTATCCTAATGTGTTATAGTAACTGTTATTGTGTTTATATTTATTTAAATATAAAGAAAAACTCAGAAGGTATTATTTATATTTAAGATATGGACCATGTAGTATAAATCATTTACTTATGAATGAGACATGTAGATATGAATCAAGAAAACATCTTTATTATAAACAACAGAAAGGATGACAATTTGGCATTAACAGACACACAGGAGGCAGTCTGTCAGGTAGTGTGCAGACACAGAGATCCCGTTCCAGCCATCAGAGTCCCCATACTCTTGTTGATAATTTGTGATCTTCTCGCTCCCAGGAAAGAAACTTAAAATAACGAGACTAATGGAGTCTCTGAAAAGGTTCAAATGGGTAGTTTAATTAAGTAACGTGGTTAAAGAACAAGCATGGTGAATGGAGAGACAAAGCCGGCGTTGTCTTGAGGGAGGCTGCAGCGAAGGGAAGAGACTGAGTTATCTTTCGTCCTGCCTTTTTATCCACGTCTCGTTGTCCCCCGCTGTGCAAATAGTGGGTGGCCCCCTACTCATTTGCCGGTTCGATATCGCGAGAGCACAGATGATTTCGACATTGATATTCTCTGCCTACTTCCTTAAGCCTTTTCTCCTCCTTATCTCTGTGATGACTTTCTATTTAATACCTTATAAACAGCTGTAATACTTAGTTTAGAAGTCCTAGTGGTTCCGCTCCGGCACAGTTCTTATTTTACGGAAATTCCCTCTGACGTCATAGCTTCTCACGTATCTGTAAACACTACGATCAACTAGACCTTCATTTAATATTCAGCAGTAATAATATCTTAACGTCTATCGATGTAGTGTTAAAGTCCGTACGTTTGTGTGTAACACTCCAAGTCATTTTCACTTTACATTCAGAAAACGCAACATTAGTCACAAGCTAACCGGATAAAGGATTTTTCAGAATAAAAGCTTGGCATTGATTTCCTGAGAACTTCCGGGCTTTTCCACAATAAAACAGCTTTAAACTGACGATATGTTTTAGACTGAATTATGCTGTTTAACATTGATTTTAATTTCTAACACTCTCCAAAGGGAGACAATTGCAGAAGGAACTGGGTAATTGTCTTCTGGTCGTACTTTCCTTCCTCACCATCCATGATGTTCTTACAGCTGAGGAGGTACGCCAGGTCAGCCCGTTCATATTTCAGGTGCATCATCTCCGTGATCTGCTTTGCCATATCAGTGGGTGACTTACCGGTGCGCCTGAGCTCGTCCAGTACCGACTTACAGATGGCTTTCTTGTAAGTCAGTACTGCTGGCAGCAGGTTGGTGAACCTCTTGGGGAGCTTTTCCAGCCAGGATGGGTTGTCGGCATACCACCTCTTCCGGCAGACTTTGCAGCAGAGCCTTGAAGACAGCAAGTAGTACTGTCCGGTGATGCCGACAATCACACGAGGCCTACCAACACCAGCAGAGGCAATTTGAGGCTGAGCACAGCCGTCAATACACGGCAGAGTGTAGTTGTTCCTCAGCCGTCCCATCAAATTGTCATTTTCTGGCTTCCAGATGAAAAAGGGATGGAGCTGAAAATACTTGGCGCAGGGAAGATCATCAACACTGTCAATCAGCTCTGGCTGGGGAGGGCGACGCCACAATGACACCATCTTCAGAGGGTTGCGTACAGGAACGGAGCCTGGCCAGAGCCCCATGGATTCCAGCTCCGTCTTCATCCAGGTCCTCTGCTGAGGCGAACAGTTCCACTGACTGACATCCTGGTTGTAGGCAGGAAGCTGAGGAGGAGGAGGAGGAGGAGGAGGAGGAGGAGGAGGAGGAGGACAGCTGGGGACCGTTGATGGCCTGGGTAATGGCTGACCTAGGCAGACAATAAATAAAAACACATGGCAAATAATTACGATATTGTGTGTGTGTGTGATTTTGTGAAAAATGATTTCTAGTGTTGATAATTTGTGATCTTCTCGCTCCCAGGAAAGAAACTTAAAATAACGAGACTAATGGAGTCTCTGAAAAGGTTCAAATGGGTAGTTTAATTAAGTAACGTGGTTAAAGAACAAGCATGGTGAATGGAGAGACAAAGCCGGTGTTGTCTTGAGGGAGGCTGCAGCGAAGGGAAGAGAGTGCGTTATCTTTCGTCCTGCCTTTTTATCCACGTCTCGTTGTCCCCCGCTGTGCAAATAGTGGGTGGCCCCCTACTCATTTGCCGGTTCGATATCGCGAGAGCACAGATGATTTCGACATTGATATTCTCTGCCTACTTCCTTAAGCATTTTCTCCTCATTATCTCTGTCATGACTTTCTATTTAATACCTTATAAACAGCTGTAATACTTAGTTTAGAAGTCCTAGTGGTTCCGCTCCGGCACAGTTCTTATTTTACGGAAATTCCCTCTGACGTCATAGCTTCTCACGTATCTGTAAACACTACGATCGACTAGACCTTCATTTAATATTCAGCAGTAATAATATCTTAACGTCTATCGATGTAGTGTTAAAGTCCGTACGTTTGTGTGTAACACTCCAAGTCATTTTCACTTTACATTCAGAAAACGCAACATTAGTCACAAGCTAACCGGATAAAGGATTTTTCAGAATAAAAGCTTGGCATTGATTTCCTGAGAACTTCCGGGCTTTTCCACAATAAAACAGCTTTAAACTGACGATATGTTTTAGACTGAATTATGCTGTTTAACATTGATTTTAATTTCTAACAATCCCTCCTTTCACACCATTTAAGGTGTGAACACAATACTAAAAGTAATAAGTTCTTCATCTGACTGCTTTTAAACTGACGGTATGTTTTAGACTAAATCATGCCATAAAACATTGAATTTTAATTTCTAACAATCCCTCCTTTCACACCTTTTAAGGTGTGAACACAATACTGAAATCAATGAGTTCTTCATCTGAACTTTGCATAGTACATAACTCATATCAAAAACATACTATCAAAATGGAATGGTTCAAATAACCGTCATCAAAAATACAAACAATACATTGGTTGGTCTTCTGGTGTAAAAGTTTTCCCTTGTGCATAACTTTTAGTTTTAACATTCAATATCACTTTTTAAAATAGCAGCAACTTGTGGTATTAGAACATTTCTTACTCTCTCCTTTCACAGAAACCGTTCCCATACCACATTCAGTGTTAAGGCACTTGTTTTACAAAGTATAAAAACATACTATTTAAAAATCACATCACTAATAACAGTATAAAACATAAAAGTTAGAAACCTTTTTTGAATAGTGCAAAGTAATACCACTTTGTAGCTGGTTCTTCATTCTAATGATTTCATCATTTGAAATATATTTCATCATTTGAAATATCACATGATTTGGACATTCTTTGAACAATCTCATCATTTATCATCCATATCATTTAACATCATTTACACACTGTCTTCATTTTCATCAATATCTGTATATGGGTTGAGTCGTCTTGTTCTGCTAGCAATTGAAACTGTTCCCTTATGAGAAATTTACCCTCCCCCCTTTCATACTTTTTAAAGTATGAAAGTAATATGTTCTCTAGAAAAGGCCGTGGTGATCAATCGGTACGTTAGGGTGCGGGTACATGGAATGCAACTCCAACATCTAGCACTCCCCTGGGCACCCCTATGCTATCCTTGTACACTGTCGAGCCTAAACTCCCTCCTTTGACTGGTCTCTTAGCCCTACTGGTTTTGGGGCGTTTCGCCATGTTGATTAACTGCCCCACTGTCATTGGTACTGCATATAAAACATCACTGGCTGTACAAGTGCACAGGTCCCAGTCTAATCCTGTAGCAAGACTGCATACAAGGGTTTAGTTCCATGATACCATCAAACATCTACTCTGGGATACGGCATTTCAGACAGTCATTTCTGGGAGAAGATTTTGGTCAGTTACAACAATTGGAGAATTTCATCACTTATGGTTCCTACTTCAGTACCTTTGGGTGGTCCGTTCTAATGCAGTGATAAAGTTCCTTAAATGGTGTGAAAACCGGTGGAATATCAATAACTCATTTCACTAATTTATCTTCAATTCTAGTCTGTTTAAAGAACTATGCTAACCCCTTTAACAGTGTGTGGAACCTTGGGTGTCCGAGCATGTAACAGTTACTCCCTCCTCTATCAAGGATTTTAAAAACAGTAGTTATTTCATCCATGGTTTGTAGTTCAATTTAGGAATTTTCACTTATGGCGGATATGTTTCTACTTTAAATAACATCTCTAAATTTCAGGTCATCCCTGATTAAATGGATGACCATCAGGAGGTGGTGGCGCTTGTCTTTTAAACTCATAATTTGGTGCCGTGCGCTCCCTGTGAAGCTACAAGTAAGATTTAAAACAACTGCTGGGTGGGTTGAGTGACCCCTTCTCTCTAAACGATATGGGTTGTCAAAAATATGCATCATTGCAATGAGTGATCCAAGGCCCCGCAAGTATTACTCCCAATTATATTGCTTTTTCCAAAATTAAATTTGCAATCGCTCTTTGCCCAGTGTCCTTTAAAACTCTACATCTTGGACAAACAAATGTTATTTCCACCTTAACAGTTCTCCTATGGTAATAACTATGCTACAATGGCGAAAACAATACTTTAGATTGGGATACTATATTTGGCTTGGTATTAGCTCTCCCTTTAACATTGTCCAACTAACACAGATTTGTCTGCTCTTATAGAGTGGTCACTAAAACTATCCCTTTAGCTGTAGATCAATATTGTAACACATTAGATCTCTACCAAATTCACCCATGAATAAAATCTTTTAGGGAATAATTCGTTTACATGATGGAAAGATTGAAAAATATGTTCTACTCCTAAGTCCCACAACACTCACTGCTTAAAGTGTAAAGTGCGGTGAATATTTCCATCATGTCTACCCCTTTATCTCACAGTACCCTCAGTGTGTTTTAGGATTATTTCCTCATTTTACTTTAACAGTTTCCTCTTTATTACTATTTTAATTTACCAATTTATTAATTCATGGCTAATAAATCTTTTTGTCTTTACGTATTTATCAAGTCAATTCAAGTTTGTTTGTGAATAAGTGTGTTTATGTATAAACTCACTCACTCCCGTTTTCCTTTTCTCCTCCTCTTGTTGTCTCAAGCCACGACCCCCTCACATTCTGTTAGACCATGCCAACTCCTCTGGTTCCGTCTTCTCCTCAGTCCATCAGCTCTTAAATCCTTTCGCTGGTACTCTTTTCAGTGGCCCAACTGCTTTACATTTCATCTCCTTCTTTACAGTCTCTTCGCTGTTGTATGGAGGGCGTATTCTGCTTTCATGTCCCACACTCTGCTCTTGTGCCAAATCTCGTGGCTCAGCTTGGAACTTCATGTCCTGGGTTAGGGACTGATGAGAGTATGCCTCTTTATGTCAGCATGCTGTTCTGGTTCTGGATGCCGCAGGTGGAGAAGGTTCTGGATGCAGTCTTGTCGTTGTTGGTTCAGCTCTGGTTCTCTGTCTGTTCGATGGAGGAGGAGGAGGAGGAGGAGGAGTCTCCTGTAGTGAGGTCTTTTGTCTGATAGGGGTCGTAGCAGTCTGACAGGCAGAGAGAGAGAGAGAGAGTCCAGGTCTCGGGACGCATTACCTATGGAAATTCTAACACACTGAGGTAAAGTAAATCTAACCTTCTCCACTCTATCTTCTAATCATACTATCTGTTTTAAATGTTAAATGCCATCTAAACACAATTAATGTCTACTAATAAATGTACTATATCTCTAAACATTGTTTTTTCTCCCACTGTAACACATCTACTCCAAATAACTCTTTCAGGAAACCATTTTCTTCTATAAATTGAAATACTTACATGTTTCAAGCACCACATGTTTCACACACTATAAAAGGACGTCTCCATATATTCTCCAATATGTTAAATCTCACTATTACTTAGAACAATAGTAACTTTTGTGACTGGATACATCTGTGCACAGTCGCCACAATCTGTTGGGGAATTTTGTTCATAGAGTTTGTACATACAGTTGTCCTCGTGGGTTAGTACCCTGTTTCTACTGTAATAACTTTTCAATAATTTTGCTCAGGTCACCAGTCGGTTGTCCATAGTCTTAACGGGGGTGTTTCTGGTACAGACTAAAACATGGATCCAGTGTATTTGGAGATTCCCCTAAATTGTAAATTCCCATCACTTAAATATTCCGATCACTTAAACCCATCTCATCATTTGATACAAGAACTGCATATAGGGGGGGTGAATGATCTTGATTGTAACCTCATCTTTGGGAACGAGTATTTCTAACTCCTCCTCTTGTTGCTCAACTGATCTTTTGGCTCTGGGGATAAGTGAAAGTCTCTGAAACACAGCTGGTGTTTTGTTAGTGATGTGGGCATTTTCTACGAGTGAACTAATGGATCCATGTCTTTCATGATATTGTACTCCCCATCCAACCAGAAAGGTGCCAAGTGTAATGAGCACAATCAACAATGCTATTCTGACTCTTATCCCTAGGGGACCCCATAATTGCTTTGGCTTTGTTCTTGACATTTTATCCATGGTTGTGTCAGTTATAAAATGTAAATGAGTACAAAAATAACGTATACGAAAATGGAAACAAAACATTTGACTCTTTTTCAGGTGAAAAAACAAAATAGGTTTTCACTTTAGTGTACAATCTATAAAAATCTAAAGACAATTCGTCTCTTGAGCTGTTGATCTTAATCGTATTTCTATTTATTGTTTTGTTCCAGCTCTGCCAAATCAGTCCTAGTTTCCAATAACTTCTCTGGAAGTTGCCAGTGAAGGGTGACAATGTGTGAGGTGGTGTTAATTTGCTCCTTTTTCTTTACCTTTAAACCGGAGCGCGTGGGAAGTTCTTTACAACTTGTCACGGTTCCGACCACCGGGGA